CTGGCCGTGGCCCAATCCCGCGCGGCCGCAGGGCCGCGTCACCCGCCCTCGCCGGGTTTGTGAGGTGGCCCTGACGTGGCAGTCGCTTCGTGGCGGCCGGCGGCGGCCCAGCCCGTCAGTCCGTAGCTGACCGCGGCGAACCTGCTCCGGATCTGCAAGGACGGGCGGCGCCCTCGCTTTCCTCCCGCCCTCGTCGCCCGAGGGCGCCCTTCCGCCGCGCCCACCCGAGTCCTGGACGCTCGCGGGTGTCACTCCGGGGCCGCGCGGCCGGCAGCGGACGGGGATCGGGGGCCCCGACCCCCTCAGGGTTCAGCTGGGGGACCCTGCCCCCCACCCTCGCTGCCCTCGCGCGGTACCCGGGACCTGTGAAGGGCTTGGAGTTCAGATCCTCAGCAGTTTGGGGTGCGAACAGTTAAGCGGGGACGCGGATAAGGGACTGATAAGGGAATTCAATAGGATTTTTATAACAGGTTCTTTTTCGGATCGTGTGTTTCAGATCCCACTAAATGTAGGAGATAAAATGAAAACTTAGCAAAATGTAAAACTAAAGGAATGGCATTGAATTTAGGGGAAAGCATAAATATGAAACGTTTCAGGTCAAAGGACATGCTTCGTTCTTCGTTGAAGAAAGCGTGCTTGAGAAAAAGAGGACTTAAGGTCCTGAAGACTTAAAGGACGCTATGAGAGGGGAGGGAGGAGTTCTAGGTGGGGATAAAGACGGTTAATCAGATTGGGCAAGCTAGATTTTGTCATATAAAGATAAATACTAATCTGCTTTGTCCCTCCACCACTACCCCAAGACGTAATAACTAACCTGATTGTAGTCGCAGCTTCTCCCTGCAGTGGAAATTTGAACTAACCAGTCTGGGGGCTTCCTTGGTGACAGCGCTGTCAAACTATGGACAGCCACTGCAGCACGAGTTGGATCCCGGACCAGGGAGCAACCCACTCGGCGAGGCAGACCTCTCTGGTATCTCCCTTCAGCAGTACATTCGAGTATCAGTTTGCCTGCTCTGCTCCCCTGCACCTCTGGCCTGTACCTGCTCTTGTATCATAAATAAATAAATCTTTAAAAAATAATAATAATAGGCCTTCCCTGGTGGCGCAGCCGGTTAAAGCGCAGTGCAAGTTCAATTCCCTGTCCCTGGAGGTGACCACATTGCGCTGCAGACCTCTCCTCTCTCTCCTGCTGCTCTCATCAGCAGTGTACTTCGTTGATCTGCCTGTTCTGCTCTCCACTCTGTCTACCGTGAATCCTCTTACCGTCCCTGCATCTCTGGCCTGTACCCCAGTTCTGTATGCATAAATAAATAAATCTTAAACTTCAGTCTTGTTGAGGTATCTGCGTAAAACCCTTAAATGAAGATGACTGCCTCATCTTTCAGACTTCTTGCAACCCTTATCTACTTGTTAGATTCACAAATCACTTAATAAAGCCACGTAGATCTTCTAAATTAACTCAGTTGAATTTTTGTTATGGATAACTCAGTTCTAGTTCAGTTATTGTTATCTGAATTGTACCAGCAACACTTTGTAAAAGGTGAAAACGGTGGCGGGGTTGTGGGGGGTGATTTAAAGAGTGGAGGATACCTAAAATAAAATTACATGGTGTCTTAAACCATTCCATGGTGATATTTTATGAAAAGTAAATAATCTGGTTGAGATATACAATAAAACCAAAGGGATACTTCATTCGTTCGTTCATTCATTATCTGAATCTTTAAATGGTCTACTACTGACACCCTCTCCTAACTTAAAGGTAGCCTGCAAAAGCGTGTGGTTTTTTACAGAGTAGAGTGATAAAGGTGTCTTTTATTAACAAAGTAGGTGACTTTTGGGTGTACCTAGGGATGGGGCTGGTTGACTGCAATTAGAAGGTTGGAACTTCTAGTTCCATTCCTATCACTCTGGGAGTGGGAGAGGCTGGAATTGAATTAATTGCCAGCAGCCAATGATTTAATCAATCCTGTCTTTGTAAAATGAAGCAGCATAAAAACCCAAAGGAAAGATTTTGAAGACCTTTTGGACTGATGACCATATGGAGATTTGGAGTGTATGGCATGCCTGGAAGAAGGCTTGGAAACCCCACACTTTCCCTAGTACTTTTCCTTATGCATCACTTCCAAATGGCTGTTCCTGAAAAATAGTCTTTATAATAAGTACAGGATTTAGTGAGTAGAAGGGTCCCCTGAGTTCTGTGAACCCTGTTAGCAAATTAATTGAAGTTGAGGATGTCAAGCCTCTGTTCTGTAGCCAATTGGAAGCATAGTTAATAAACCGGCCTTTCCACCGGCACCTGATGTCTGAGGAGGGGAATTGTGGAAACTTTAATCCAGAACCAGTTAGTCAGTTAGCCAGATACCTTATTGCAGGTAATAAACAGGGCTTGTGACTGTATCTGAGGTGGGGGGTGGTTTGGGGAGACTGAGCCCTTTACCTGTAGATTCTGATGCTATCTCCAGGCAGAGAGCATTAGAATTGAGTTAGATTAAGTTAAATTCTCAGACACATTGCTGGTGTAAGAACCTTCCACACATTCACATGGGAATTGGGTCTGGGAACCCAAAGCAAGACTTATTGCTGATTTGGAGAAAATTTTAGTGGTCTGGATTAGAAAATAAAACCAACCACATAAACCAAAACCAAATCCAGAGGAAGGTCTTAGCTCTTCAAATTCTATGAAGTCTAAGAGAGACACAGGAAGCTGCAGAGGAAACATTTATAGCTAGCAGAAATTGGCTCATAAGTCTTTGGGAAAGAAATATTTCTTATCATAAACGTGCAATGTGAAGCAGAAAATGTTAATATGCTTAATGAAGGTGGCCACATTAAACAATATTTTAAAAGTAGACAAAATAGCCTTCTGATGGAAAAAGATGCCATCTAGGGCTTGCATAGCTGAGAGTAAAATTCAACACCTGGCCTCAAAGAGTCAGCAGCCAGATAGATTCTTGTTAGGGGCTAATGCAGCTGGTGATCTGAAGTTGGAGCTAATGCGCATTTACCATGCTGAAAATCCCAGAATTATGATAAACCTACTCTACACTCTAAATTGAACAACAAAACACACCTATTTTCCACATGGTTTACTGAATATTTGAAGCCTAATGTTGAGACATACTGCTCAGAAGAAAGGGTTCCTTTCAACAGATTGGTGTCATTCACAATGTGCCTGGTCACCCAAGTGCTCTGATGGAAATGTCCAAGGAGGTTGTGTTATTTTCTTGTCTACAAACACAAAATTTTGTGGGCAAGGAAATGTACTTAGTATTGTGCTTTTGCTTTATTGCATAAAGCACATCTCTTCAGTTTTATTTTTTCCATAGTAAAGGTGCTTTTAAAATTAGTAACAGAGGGCCCTCCCTGGTGGTGCAACAAGTTAAATCATAGTACTGTGAAGTAATCCGCAGCCATTGCACATGAGTTTGATTCCCCAACCAGGAGCTGACCCACACGGTGCAGCAGACCTCTCCTGTCTTGCCTGCTGCTACAGGCAACATTTAAAATAAATGTAAAAAATATTCTTTTACTTTCTAAATTTAGCTCTAGAGGAAACACCTGCAACTAAGACAAAGCTCTTTCATGTGTGAAACAACAGTAACTAGCTGTGGCATAACTCAGTCTTCTCCCTTGGCCTGAGTCTTACCACAATGGCTCTTTGGGGCACTGATTCTTTGCCACTCCAAGCCATTTTCTCTTGTGTCCCCGTAATCTGTCACCCCAGTTGTCATTCTCTGTCTCCTTTTAGCTACTTCCTGATGAATGAAACTTAGCCACCTACAAACTAACCTGAATAGCTTAACTCAGCTCCATACCTCCAGAGCAAGTTTCCTTTTCTAGTCACCAGGGAAGTATAAAACAACAAAAACATCACTGAGTCCAGAATTTTTAAACAATTTGCATTTTATTCACCATTACAACATCCACAAACTTCCAAAAAAAAAGCTCATGGATACGTGAAATATTCTTCTGTCCCTAGATAATGCTCAGTGTCTACATAAAGTATGAAACTTCTTAGAATAATTCAGCAACATTATTAATGTCTTTAGAACAACCTGGACCCTCCCTGGTGGAGCAGCTGGTTAAAAGCACAGCACTATGAAGCTATCACAGCCACTGCAGCAAGAGTTTGACCCCCTGCTAGGGGGTTGACCTACATGGTACAGCAGACTTTCCTGCTTACCACTCTATCATCCCCCACATCTCTGGCCTATACCCCAGTTCTGTATGTATAAATAAATCTTTAAAAATACACACATACACACACACACACAAAGCAACCTATGATTTATTACCAAAAGGTACAGATATTCCATAATCTGTATGCATTCCACATCTTGTGAAAATCCACTGGACCAGTCTGACTTACTTAGGAGTCAGATTTGATTGCAGAAGTTCTTTTCATTTTTTTAAAGATTTATTTACGTATGCATACAAGAGTTGTGGTATAGGCCAGAGGTGCAGGGTAAGTGAGAGGATTCACCAGGGATACAGTGGGGAGCAGAACAGGTGGATTGACTGAAATATGCTGCTGAGGGAGGGAGCGGCAGGCAGGACAGGAGAGGTCTGCTGTTCCATGTGGGTCACCTCCCTGAGCTAGGGATCAAATTCATGCTGCAGTGGTTGTGATAGCTTCATAATGCTGAGACTTGAGACATCCTTGTGCCACCAGGGAGACCCAGGTGCAGATGTTCTTAAATGTCACATACCATGTATGCCAAAAC